TTCCTTCCTTCCTTCCTTCCTTCCTTCCTTCCTTCCTTCCTTCCTTCCTTCCTTGTTTTCTTTTACATATTTTCTTTTGCATTTTCTGGAAGTAATTTTCCCTTACTAGTTAGTTGCTACTTTAATAATAAAATTTAAAATTATTTTAAAACAACAACACCCCACTACCCAAACAGTAGAAGGAAACTGTTTTTTCAGTAACTAAATTTCTAACATTGCTACCACCATTTTTGGTTCTGTCCTGGTCATCCTTGAAGGCTTCCTTCTGACCTTTCGTCCTCAGCATATCGCTGATGTTTCCCTCTCCTCAGGTTGTGGTGTCAACGACAGTGAATGTAGATGGCCACGTCCTTGCAGTTTCTGACAATATGTTTGTCCACAACAATTCCAAACATGGACGCCGAGCACGGAGGTTGGATCCCTCAGAAGGTATCATTCCTTATTATAAGGTTCAATTTTGCAAACCATAAACCACAAAGTCACTTTGCTGGGTGTGTGTCTGACCTTTGGAACTCCATAATTTTGGTCCTTGCTCACCCCTCTTGTACCATCAAGAGAAGGAGCTCCAAACCCTCAGTTGCAAGAACAGCTCTGAAGCTCCAACTGCTGGTCTACAAATCCAGGTCTTTCAGGTCTACAAATCCATGCCATGGTTTCCACAGATCATACATCTGAGCAGCCTTTCCCAACATGGTACCTGCTGGATGTGATTTGGAAGTAGCAGTCCCAACACATTTGGAGATGCCAGGTTGGAGAAATTGACACTGAAGGAACATCTGAATTTTCACACTTGGCCTCAGATTTGGAAAAATTTCTTCCATTCAGTTCATCAGGTGTTGCTGTTATATAGATTTTGTTATTTTTCCTATACTGTATATTGACTGTTCTTCTGGTGTTCAATGAATTGTAGGTGACATTTCTATTGTAAGCCACTCTAGAAATTCATTTGAAGAGTGGGATAAGAAGAGAATCACAGAATCATAGAACTGTGGAATTGGAAGGGATCATGAGTATCACCTAGTCTAACCCTCTGTAGTTTGCAGGAAAACTAATTAAAACATTCTAGCAACTTCGTAAGAACCTCCAGAGATGGAGAACCTGCAACCTCCATTAGGTAGAGTTCCACTGTTGGACAGAACTTACTGTTAAAGATAACCATAAGGATCTCCTTGATGGATCAGACCATCTAATCACAGATACCCAGAACAACTAAGTGGCCATAGACATTTGTTCCCGACCATTAATATTCTGAGAGAGAAGTTGTTCCTGAAGATGGAACTCTGCTTAACTAATACGGAGAAGACTTGTATTCATGGAAGCTTTCACCAACCCGGTGACCTTCAGCAGTGCTGGTCTATGGCTCCCATCACAGCATGGATGAGAATTGGAATGGTAGACCAACCTTGGTGGAGGTTACTAGCCTGCCAAGGGTTTGATTGCTCCAAATCAGTGCAATTTTATGAGCAACTATAAACAGTAGATGAAAATGGTTGAGTCAAACTTCTGTAATTCCCCAGCTTTTAATCACTGACCAATCCATCTTTCTCCATGAGCACAAGCAGATATGCATATATGGATTGATGTAGGGATTGATTGATTGATTGATTGGCATTTGGACCCCAACTTCAGATACATTTCTAGGGTAGGTAACTCAAAATGGCACCCCACAAGGAATGACTGTTTGCAGTGTCCTATCAACATTATGCAAACAATTGAAGTGTAGCCCTCCATGGAAACCTCTGGATAGTGGGAGAGCTATTCAAAATAAATAAATAAATAGCACACAACTGTAAATCAGTACATTAAATTAGATGGCATAAAATGACTGGCATTTTTAAAAAATTGGTTAAACTCAGAAAACCCAGATGTGAAAAGTTCCACAGGGAGTGTTTTTCAGAGCAATGGATCCATCATCTAACAGCTGCCTGTTTCTCAGAAATCCCCCCCTCCCACAGCTCAGTTGGCTGGCCAAAAAGACCCCCCAAAAGACCAGGTTTCTAGCTCCAGCCTCCTTTTTGTTTCCCACAAGCACCTAGTGCCTGTCCTGGGGAGAAGCCCACCAGCCTACTGGGATTCAGTAATATACTGCTCTTAAACAGAGAGGTTTCACCAGAAATGTTTGATTGGAGCCTCCATGTTCAAGAGCAGGATGCTACTGAATCCCATTTGCCAGGGGGAACAGCAGGAGTGGGCTGTCCTGTGACTTGCTTTCATCAGTGGGCCCACGAGTACATCTGGGAAGCTGATGAAAGCCATAAATAAAGCAATAAACACCCAGAGTTGTTGGGAGTCAGGCAGTGTACAAATTGAATTAAATAAAGACATAAATAAATGCTAGGGCCATAGGGAGTGATGGAACAAGGCCCTCGCGCCTTACTTCTGGCCTGTTTCCAAATATATTCTGCTGTTTCCTTCAAGGAACTGGAATTTGATGACTTCCCCCTAAATGGGAAACTTTCAGGTAGCCAAAGAAATTTTACTGACCCTCCTTGATCAACAGCAGTATACCGCCGAAGCAGCCTTTCCCATCCAGCGGCCTTCAGTTCTTCAGAACAACTTTCTGCAACCTGGTGGTGTCCCAGACAACAACCTCCATCATTCCCAGCCGAGCACTGACTTTAATTGCACTCGACAGACATGGTGGCTGCCAGAAAGCAGAAGAGGGAGTAGCTGCTCTTGTTGTTATGATATGAACAGCGGAGCCTTCCAGTTACTTAGTATTACTATTGGACTGGTTAGAGTAATTTGATGGATAGATAGACTGATTGGTTGATTTAATTAATTAAGCAAGCAAGCTGGGCCACGTTTCTTCATGCAGAATGCACTAACATCACAGCGTTGGCTTCCAGCCTCACCATCTCCCTAGAATTGGAGTCCTAAAGTTTGGAAGAGACCTTAAAGGTCAGCCAGTCCACCTCCCTGCTCATTGTAGGATCCT